GAATCGCTTTGCATGGGGTGGGGGTGGAAAGCCTCATGGGGGGGAGGGGGGGAGGGAGGGAGGGAGGGGGGGTGCCTGCCAAGGCAACGAATGAGGCCTCCGAGGCTCAGGTGCCCATCTAGGGATGGGCGGCCTTTGGGTGCCAGGGAACCTCAGCCTTGGCACTGGTCGACGTTCACCTTGTGTGCAGGTGGACCCCCTAACTGCCTTCCTAGAAACTACAACCCAGGCAGCAGGTGATGGGGCCAAGCGAAAGGGAGCGGGCACCACCAGGTGGGCTTTCCCAGCCATCCCCTCCGGTTGAAAGCCCCTTCCTGGCTGGGGGCCGATGCTGGGCAGGGCTGCCCTCCCTCCTCTGTCCCAGGGCCTGGGTGGGGCCGCCCCCTGCCTGCCCTTGGCAAGAGCCCCCTGCCCGGCTGGCTTGGACCAGGCCCGTGTGGGAAGGCCCTGGACCGGGCTGGGCTGAGGTGGGGCCCCAGGGAAGAGTTAGGGTCCTAGCTTCTGCGAGCCTGGCCGTTGCTGGGCAGCCGACCGTTCTTCGCCAGAGCCCGAGTCCTCTGTGCCAGGGCATGGTGGCCGGCTGAGCTGCGGTTTGCTGCAGCCTCCCTGAAAGGCTGGAAAGCAGGTGCCCCCCCCCCCCTGCTGCCCTCTGGCTCAGGGCTCTCCACACCTTCATGCCCAGTCGGGGGGGGGGGGGGGGGGGAGGCCACTTTCCTGCCTCGGACTGCCCCTGCCTCCTTGGGGCTCCTGGCAGTGCCCGCCCGGCTCTCGGAAGGGGCAAAGTCCAGAGAGACGGCCAAGCCGCTGCTTCCGCCTCCTTGTCTTGGCAGCGGGTGAGTGTGCTGGGGGACGCCTGCCCCGTGTTGCGGGTGGGGAGGTGGTCTCAGTGGGGGCTCCAGCCAGCCCTTCTGCAACCCCCTGCTGGGGAGGGACGGGGTCTGACCCGGGGAGGGAAAGCCAGGGAAGGAGGCGGGGCAGGCCCGGGAGGAGGGCTGGGCCCCCTAGGCAGGAGCCCGGCTGTTGGGTGCTGGGATCCTCTTAGGGGCCGGCATCCCTGGGGCCCCGCTGCTGCCCCCACCCAGCACCCGTAGGCCAGCCCCTCTTCCTCGGGGCCTGGGAAATCCTGGGACGGGCCTGTCCCTCGGCTCGTCCCCAGAGGGCTTCTGCCTGGCTCCCCGGGTGGCTGCTGTGGGTGAGCTCTGGGCCGGGCATCGCAGCCCTTCCTGGGCCGGCCTGCTTATCCGGCTGCCTGTGAGCAAACCCCCCCTGCCCCCCCCCCTTCAGTCCTCTGTTTACATCTCGATTGCAGGAGGAACTGACTTTGCGGTTAATGTCGGGGAAGGCTTGTAAATCCAGAGGCCTCACCGGTTCTCCCTCCCTCCCTCCCTCCCGTTGTGGTGGGGTGGGGTTTGGATGTGGCTCTTTGGAACAATGGGGGGCGGGGGTTCCAAACAAGGGATCCTTTTAAGGGATTGGGGGGTCTTTGGGGTTCTCAGCTGGAGCTTAGTTGAACCTGGCATTTGTGGCCGTTTGGGTGCATGAGAGAAGCTCCTGTGATCCAGCGACTCGAGGCGCAGGGCCCCTTTCAGCCTCCTCGGGGGGGGGTCTTCTGCATGGGGCGGGGGCTCTGCTCAAAGATGAGATGCTGGAAGGAAACCCCCAGGAGCAGCATTTGCACCCAGCCTCCACCTCGAGGTTGTGTTTCTACAGGGGCGTAAAAATATATCGGTGCGACTTTGAAAGTCAGGCCCCCGCTGAGGCCCTCCCGGAGTTCTGCTTTGCAGCGGGGCCTTTCTAAAGCCACCCTCCTGGGTCAGCCACTGCCAGGCAGCTCCCTGGTCTTGCCCGGAGCTGAGAGAGGCAGCCGGTTGGTCTCCACTCCAAGGGCCTCTCGTGCCAACTGGTCCCCTCGCCCGACTGCTGGAGCCAGGACCCTGGGCTGCTCCCGGTGCCTGGGCAGGCCAGAGGTGTACGGGGGATCAGGGCCTGCAAGGCGGGGGCCATGGGTCCCCCCCCCCCCCCCCCCCCCCCGCTTTGAAGCCCAGGGAAGAGCCGCCTCTTTGGGCCCCCTTGAAGGCAGCCCTGCCCCAGCTGGAGGGTCTAAGTAACCTCGTCGCTTGGGGGAAACGCACGGCTGACTAGAAGCAAGCGAGAACTGAAATTCACGCGCCAAAACCCCAAGTGAAAGTCCCCCCCCACCCCCGCGTAGCCTCTCCCCATCGCTGCTCCCCCTCCCTCCAATCAATTTCGAAGAAGAGGCTTGGAAATGGCGGCTCTGATGGTTTGCATCCACATTCCTCTCCTCTCGGATTGACCGGGTGGGGCGGGCAGCTCCACTTTCTAAACTTCCACCCCCCTCAAAGTGCTCGCCCTCCGCCCGGGGTTCTTGGGAGGCTGGGACGAGGCCGGGCAGAGCGCAGGGGTGGGGTGGCAGTTCGGAGATCTGCAACCAGGTGCTGCGCTTTTGCCACCCTGCCTGTCCCTTGGCCTAGGCTGGCCGATGTGGGTCACGCCTCTTACGGCGCCCTCGGTGGCACTGCTCTGAAGGCTGCCGGGAAGCCGGTCCTGGTTTTGGCTGGTGGCAGAGCCCAGCAGCTCCTCTTGCACCCATGGCGCCTGCCTGCCTGTCCTGGGATGCCCAGCCAGGCCTTCAGCCGTGGGGGGGGGGGGAAGAGGTGACCCAGAGCCACAGCCAGCCTGCTCGCTTCCCTGCTGCAGCCGCTCAGGATGCGCGATGGGGCCCAGCTCCGCTTTCCTTGCGGGTGGGCCATGCTTGCCGGAAAGGAGCCGGGACTGTCCTCTTGGCGGTGGGGGAAGCCGCCGAGGCCTCGGTCAGAGCCGCCAGGGAGTTGCTGCTGGCTGGCAGGTTGTCAGGCGGTCCTTTCAGCCCCCCCTGAGCTTGGAGGCTGCCCGGCTCCTGGGCCTCTTTGCGTGTGGCGCCCATGTCAGATTTGCTCCCCTGGGGTGGTTTTGTGGGCACTGAGGGCATCTGCCTCGTCAGGAGGGACCCAGCTGGGGTGTGCCCTGAGCGAGGGAAGCCGGAAGCCCTTCCAGCTGGGCCGAGAGGCCATTTCAAAGCTTGGCATTAACTGTCAGGCCACCCTGGCGCTGCCCGTTGGCGGAGTGACGTTCAGGAAGTGGTTTCTGAGTTCAGCCTGTGATGACAGGACACGAGGAAGCCTTGAAGGGCCGCCTCCTCTTCTCCTTGGAGCCCTCCCCTCTTTCCTTGGCACCCGAGGAGACCCCTGGCCTCCCCTGGGTTTTGGGCCCGGGCGCTCGGGTCCTTGAGCCCCAGCAGTTGCTTGCTGGCAGTTGGCAAGGGGATTCCCGGGCACGGAGCCAGCGTCTCCTCTTTGCTTATTCATGGGGAACTTAGCAGCCACGGTTCCTCTTCCGGGGCTGGGATGCCGGATGCCCCTCAGAGCAGGCAGCCTCGGGTGGCCCAAACGGCTTGAGGGGGCGCGTGGGGGGCTGAGCGTCTTGTGGGAGAGAAACTGGGCTTCCCCCAGGGAGGAGAGTCCTAGATTAGGAAGGCTGGGCTGGGACCATCTGCCCCACCGCCCTGCCGCGAGCACTCCCCCACCCACTGGAGGGCCTCTCCGGGGGGGGGGGGCTTTGTGGGGCCTCCTTCCCCTCGGGGTCGGGAGCAGCTGGTGGCCACTGGCAAAGGCGCCCAAATCGCTTGCCTGCCAGCTGCACCTGCCCCCTTCCTTCCGAGGTAGGTCTGCGGTCCGCCCCCTCACAGCCCCCTTTCCGTCTCTCGTGTCTGCAGCTTGGCACGGCCTCTGTAGCAAGATGGGTGCCCCAGCCGGGCGACTGGCGGCTTGTCCTCCGCTGCTCTGCCTCACGGGAGGCCGCCTCTGACCTGCCTGCAGCCCCTCCCCTCCCCATGGAGAAGATGAGCTGGCTGAGCAAACTGAACCCCCGAGCGCCAGCTGGGCCGAGGGCGAGCAGGGGCGCCAGCCTGCAGGGCCCGGTGACGGCGGACCCTGAAACCTGCCTGATGGTCTTCAAGAACCACTGGGCTCAGGTGAGTGACCCAGGTGAGTGGCCCAGGTGAGCGGCTTTGGGCAGCCGGCAGGAGGGGGCATCGGAGCGCAGGGGAGCCCAGCCAGCGGGCACAAGAGACCTGCCCCCCCCCGAGTCAGGGGACCCAGCCCGACATGTTTCCTCTCCTGGCAGGTGCTGAGGATCCTGGAGAAGCGGGGCCCCCATGTGGCTCCGGGGGCGGCGGATGACCTGAGTGCCGTGCGCAACAACACCTACCAGATGGTGACCCTGCTGGCGGAGGAGCGCCCGCAGGCCGAGCTGGCCATGGGGCCCATCCTGGAGTTTGCGGTCTCGGAGGGGGTGCTGGAGCACCTGCTGGGCTGGCACCTGCAGCGGGAGGTGCCCGAGGAGCGCAAGGTGGAGCTGCTGAAGCTGTTCGAGACGCTGATCAGCCAGGCCCACCAGCCGCTGCTGCTGCACCAGAAGGCCGTGCTGGGCCCGCTGCTGCGGCTGCTGGCCCTGTGTGCCGAGCCGGCCTCGCCCCTGCTGGAGGGCAGCCTGGTGCTGCTGCTGAGCCAGCTCTGCGTCTCGGTGGCCCGGGACCCCCCGCTGCTGGAGCTCTTCTTCCACAGCCCCTCCGGGCAGGGGCCCCGCCACCTGCTGCTCTTCTCCCTCCTCATCCCCTTCATCCACCACGAAGGCGGGCTGGGCCAGCAGGCGCGGGACGCGCTGCTCCTCCTGATGGCCGTGTCCTCCGGCAGCCGGACCGTCGCCTGCTACATCACCGAACACTCCTACTTCTGCCCGGTGAGCCCGCTGGAATCGCCTGCCAGGGAGGGGTGGTTGCTTTGGTTGGCGCTGGCTGCCTTTGGGAGCCTCTCTTGGCTCTGGCAGCTTCCCTTCCAAATCCGGCGCCTGCCTTGTGGCATGGCTTGAATTCCTATTCTTGTCCCAAAGGGGTTGCGTCGATCCCGCTCTTTCTCCAGGCCCCGGCGTTATTTTGAGCTGGGGTTTCGGTTGCATTTGCTCCCCCAGAGCTGTTGCCATAGAGCGGTGAACCTGTGCTAGAAGGGAACGTGGGCACCGGGATGGCAGGCTATGGAGGGAGGAGGAGAGACTAGAAACGCCAGGCCAGAAATAGCGCAGAGGCTGCTCCTTGTCGGCGCTGCGCTTCCTCCGTGGGGCTCTCGGGCAGAGCGGCAGGGCCGCCGGGCCGAGTGGGCGTGCTGGCTCTGCGCTGGCCCGGTTGTGCCCAACTGTCAGAGGCTGCTTGGACCACTCAGCTGCGGAGGTGCTTCCTGCAAGGGGGTCCGCTTGGCACACCCTGCAGGGCCTGGGGCAGCTTCTTGCCCCAGCTGGGCCCTGAAGCGAGGAAGAAGAGGGACGCCCTTGGGTGCCTGGGGAAGCCCAGGCGTCTTCATCGGGGGGCCGAGGGTGAGGAGCGCCTCAGGGCAAGGCAGACATCCGTGAAGCCAAAGCTGCTTCCCAGGGCCAGGGGGCAGCTGTCTGCCCTGGGGGGCCCTTCCGCCTGCCCACCCGCCAGAGGGACGCAGGCCGGCAGCTGCCCACACCTGTCCGCCCTCAGGCAGACGTGCGCAGAAGCTCCCTGCAGCCGCCTTCCCTGTCCTGGGGGTGGAAGGTCCTGGTTGTGGCCCCCTCCCCATTCTGACGGCCTCCTCCCTCCCCACCCAGGTCCTGGCCACGGGACTGAGCGCCCTCTACTCCTCGCTGCCCCGTAAATTGGAGGTCCGTGGGGATGACTGGCACTTCCTGCGCCGGGAGGACTGGATTGGGGTCCCGTCGCTCGTCCTCTTCATGAACTCCCTGGAGTTTTGCAATGCGGTCATCCAGGTAAGGCCGCTGTCCAGCAGGGAGAGCTGGGGGGGGAATTGGGGGGGGGAAGGGCATCCAGAAACCGCCTCAAACACCCTGAACAGATCTGCCCAGAAGGTCCCGCCTGGAGAGCTGAGCGGAGCCCTGGGATCTCGTCCCTGTGGAATCTGGAAGGATGCGGGAGCGGCTCAGAGGGGGGGTGGGGGTGGGGTCTCTCTGCTGCTGGCCATGTGCAGCCAGGGCCAGGCGCCCCCTCCGTTGGGCTGGCCTTTGCGCGTCTGTGGGCCTCTGGATGCTGCTCCGCCCAGGTTTTGCACAGGGTGCTCCCCACATACCTTGCTGCTCCCCCCCCGTCCCTGTGCAGGTAGGACATTGGGCCGGCCCCCTGATGAGCCCCCCTCCCCGATGTGGGTGGGGCCGCTGCCCTTCCGGAGGCCTTTGGGCTGCGTTCCACCTGCTGAGCCCTGGGCTGCTGCTCCTCCACTCGAGGGCTCCGGGCTGGGCGCTCCTCCTGACTCTGCCCCTTTGCCCTGCAGGTGGCCCACCCGCTGGTGCAGAAGCAGTTGGTGGATTACATCCACAGTGGGTTCCTGGTGCCGGTTATGGGCCCGGCTCTGCACAAGGTGAGGCTGAGCTTCCTCCCCCTTTCTGGCGGCAGGAGGGCAGGGCTGCCTTTGCCGGGCACCGGCTGCTCTGACTGCGGCTGGGATGGGGTGCCCAGGGCTCCTGCCAAAGACCAGCCATCGCAGGGCGGTGCCCGCCAGCTGCAGGCCTCGGGGCCACGGCGGGGCAGCCTTGGCTGAGGTTCCTCTGCCCGCCAGACGTCCATCGAAGAGATGATCGCCAGCACGGCCTACCTGGACCTCTTCCTGCGCAGCATCAGCGAGGCGGCCCTCCTGAAGACCTTCCTGCGCTTCCTGCTGCTCCACCTGCACGACAGCAGCACCATCCTTGACACTCTGGTGGCGCGGATCGCCAGCAATTCCCGGGTGAGGCGGCCAGCCTGGCATGGGCACCGGGGGGCCCCACACAGCTTCTGCACCAGGAAGGCCGTGTGGGGCACGGGAAGGCCGAAAACAGGACCCCCCCACCCCACTGAGGGGCAGCAGCTCAGGGTTGCAGGAAGGCCCTCCCTGAAGGAGGGGGGCAGGGGGGGGCTTGGGGCCTTTGCCTAGTTCAGGGGGGGGGGCTGCTTCCTCTAACCCCGCCCCTTCTGCCCCCAGCTCTGCATGGTCTCCCTCAGCCTCTTCCGGACGCTGATCGGCCTTCACTGCGAGGACGTCCTGCTGCAGCTGGTGCTGAGGTACGGGGGGCCTTCTTTGGGGGGGGGGGGGGGGGGAGGCAAACGCCCCCCCCGCGGGGCGGAAGGCAGAAGCGGAAGGGCTTTGGGGGGAGTGGGGGGAATGGCCCCCCCTTAGAAGAGCTGCCCAGGCAGCAGCCCTTCCTTTGCTTGGCCTCTCTGGATGAGGAGCGGCCCCTGGTGGGCCTCTAGGGCATTGCAGGTGGCGCCACAGCTCCTCACTCCCCAGACACTGCCGCCCCCCCAGGTACCTGATCCCCTGCAGCCACGTCATGCTGAGCCAGAAGAGAGCGGTCAAGGAGCTGGACCTGTACGGCAAGGCTGCTGCCAAGTTCCTCTCCCTGATCCCTCACTGCTGCCGCCTGGAGAGCCTGCCCCCCCCGGAAGAAGAGGAGGAACGGGCAGCCTGGTCCAAGGGTGAGGCTGGGGGTGGGTGGGTGGGAAGAGCCTCCCTGGAGGGGCTCCCTCAGGCTGGGACTCTTGGGGTCGGGCTCAGGGTCCTCCTCTTGAGGACGGGGCTTTGTGGCTGGGCTTGACCCTTCCTCCTCCGCCGTCTCCCCAGGCCAAGGCAGCCCCAGTGTGGACTCCTCCTCCGTGGTGACCGTCCCCAGGCCCTCCACGCCGTCTCGCATCTCCTTCTTCAGCCGCCAGTCCAGCTTCAGCACGGAGGCCCCCAGCCCCACCCCCCCGCTCTCCAGGGACGCCCGCAGGCAGCCCTGGTCACCGTCCCAGCAGGTGGGAGGAGGCCTCGGACCTGGAAGGGAACTACCTGGAATACCTGCGGGATGCGCGGCTCAACATCGACCTCTGCGTGCGTGCCTGCCGCGTCTGGTCGGCCCCCTACGATGGGGAGGAGCCCAATGCCGGCAGCTTAGCTCCACCCCTGGGTGCCTCCTCGGCAGCCGACGCGTCCGTCCATCCCAAGGGGGCCCTGCCAGATCCCGCACCTGCCTCCCCCCGGACTAAAAAGCGGGGGGCGAGCCTTGAAGTGGCCCCTGCCGCTGTGCCGCCAAGCACCGCCCCACCTGCGGACACCAAAGGGAAGCAGCCTCTGCTTAACGGGGCCCACGTGGATGCTGGCATCAAGAAGGGCCGCTGGGGCCCCCCCGAGGGCCCCTCCGAGAACGGGTCAGTCCCGCCTGCCAGCCTTTGGGAAGGCGCCTCCTGCCTGGACTTGCTCGCGGATGAGGGGCTGAGCCAGGCCCCTCTGGAGAATGGGGGGCCGCTGACGGTGGAGGAGTTCCACCGGGAACTGTGTCAGCTGCAGGACGAGATGGCCAACGGGGGCCGAGCGGAGGAAGAGCCCCCCTCCGAGCCGGAACCGCTTTCCCGGGAGGAGGAGGAAGCCTTCCACTGCTTTGCCTCCTGCCCCGAGGGCTCTGCCCCCGCCCCGCCTGCTGACCCCCTCTCCCAGATCCTCAGCAGCCCCCTCCGGGCCTCGGGGCAGCCTTCCAGCCAGCCGTTCACCGGTGAGTCTCCTTCCCGCCTCGTGCAGGGAAGCCTTTGGGAGGGAGGGTCCTTTCTCAAGCGGCTGCCTGGTCCTTCGGCCGGGGGTCTGTGGGGGGGGGGTCACGATGGCTCCAGGGCCATGTGGGGGAGCAGAAGGGGGGCTCCTCCCCTCTCAGGCTAGGCCAGCCAAGAGGCAGGATCGGTTAGGGTCCTCCTGTGCAGCCGCTGCCCGGGGGGTCGGGGGGGGCATGTGTCTCGCCCCCCCCCCCACCGCCTGATGGCCACCCATGTCCGCAGGCCCCTTCCTGGCTATCCTGCTGGCCAAGCTGGAGAACATGCTGCAGAACTCGCTCTACGTCAACTTCCTGCTGACGGGGTTGCTGGCTCAGCTCGCCTGCTACCCGCAGCCCCTCCTGCGCTCCTTCCTGCTCAACACCAACATGGTCTTCCAGCCCAGCGTCAAGTCCCTCCTCCAGGTAGCTCAGCGGCCGGGGGGAGGGGAAGGGGCACCCCCCCCCCGGGGGGGGGGGGGGGGGGCCCGCGTCTCCCCCCCCCCCCCCCCCCCGACAGGTCCTCGGCTCAGTGAAGAACAAAATCGAGGGATTCGCGGCCAGCCAGGAGGACTTCCCCTCCCTGCTCTTAAAGGCCAGGAAGTACCTGACTGCCCGGGCCAGGCCGGATGCCCCCGACGCCCTCAACCCCCTGCCCCCCCTGCGCCGCCCTGAGGCCCTCGGTGAGCAACCCTGGTCCCCTGGCAAGGCGGGAAAGGGCCCCTGGAGGCAGTTGGGGAGGGTGGCGGCTCAGCCTTTGTCCACTGGCTGCCCTGGCTGCTGGTCTTGACCCGTGCCCTCTCTCCCGCCAGTGAAGAGCCGCAAGCCCACCATTGGGGAGCTGATCATGCGTCACACCAACAGCCCCACGCGGGCCCGCCAGGCCGCCCAGCTGGCCCTGCAGCATGTGCGCGAAGGCCAGGTGCTGCAGGCACTCTCGGGGGGCTCCCTCTTCCGCGGCTCCGCCGAGAAGCAGAGCGAAGCACTGCGGGTGAAGAACGCCGTCTACTGCGCCGTCATCTTTAGCGAGTTCCTGAAGGAGCTGGCAGCCATCGCCCAGGCCCACGCCGTCACCTCGCCCTTCCTGCTGGACCCCCCCCCAGAGTGAGCCCCACGCCTCTCCTGCCCACGGGGGGGGGGGGAACCCTCCGTTTTTAAAACTCCATACCAGGAAATGGACCTTTTTAATTTATTGGGAATGAATGTTTTTTTCTGGGAAAAAATGGTTTGTTGCAATATATATATATATATATATATCTATATATCTATAAGAAGCAGCCTCTGCCTGCCCTCCGCAGTGTGTGTGGGGAGACCCTCCCCCGACCCTTCCAGGTGTCTCCAGGGCCAGAGCTCTCTCGGCCCCCTGGACCTCTGGGAGGGGCAGCTTAAGCCAAGGCAGGGACCATCCTGCTCCTTTGGGGAGGGGGAACCTTCTTTTCCTACTGGGGGGCACCTCAACTCCCCAACAAGGCTTTGGGCAGCCCTGCTGTGGAAGCCCCCC